TGCCATGACAAGAAATGCAAAACCTGCCAACACATCTCCACCACCCCCACTATTACTACACCCCACAACAGAGCCATCAGCATTCCTGGATCTTACAGCTGCACCTCCAGAAATGTAATATACCTCATCCAATGCACCAAATGCCCTGATGGAAAATACGTAGGAGAGACCAAACAACAACTGCGCACCAGAATGAATGCACACTGGAAATCTATCAAAGACAGAAACACCCAATTACCTGTGGGGGCACATTTCTCACAAGAAAACCATTCTCTCTCCAATCTCTCAGTCCTGATCCTCAAAGGAAACCTACAAAACACTTCCCAGAGACGAGCCTATGAACTCCACTTCATCAACCTCCTGGATACTAAAAATCATGGACTAAATATTATAGACATTGGATTTATGACACATTATAACCTGCCTGACTTCTGACTCCCCAGGTATCTCTCCACTTTCATCCCCCTTCTCTCTCCCCCCACCCACCTCACCTGTCTCTCACCCATTGACTCCTCAATCTACATTTTCACTGACTACCTGTCTTGTATGCATACCAGCCCAGCCCCTGGCTTCTTTACTTTTCATTCCATCCAGGAAGAGCACACACCAACTGCTGAAACTTCCTTAGCTTGATGAAGGGTTTTTGAACCCGAAAGCTTGCTTAATAATTATTTTCCAACTATTTGGGTTGGTCTAATAAAAGATATCAGATTCACCCAAGGAACCTTGTCTGCCTATGTCCTTAGACCAACACGGCTACAACCTACACTCCTTGATATGGTGTATAAGTCAAGGTAGACACTTAAAAGGTAAATATTTTGACTCCAAACCTCAACTTATACTCCATAAAATATGGTAGTTGGCAGGGGCCTGCTAATAAGAGGTACTGACAGAATAGGACCCTAAGTGATGTGCAGCCCTCTACAACTAGACCCCTAGACTTCTATATTTTTCAAAGTATCCTCCCTTGATTAGTATAGTCCTCAGATAGCAGTTTTGATCATTATAAGATGATATTTGTCACTTCTCTGGCACATTTCTTTTTCACAGATTTTAGTTTTACAAGTTTTACAGCAAGCCTGCATAACAAGGATAATATTATTCTCATTCCTAAGTTGGGTCTCCGTTTTGCTATGGGTCATGTGACTCTCATAAGTTCTTGTATCAATTAATTGGCAAAGCGAGGAATAGAATACTGTCAATCCTATGTTTTAAAACACTGTGCTTCCTCCCACTGGGGCTATTTCTTGTTTCAAGATCATAGAATCATAGAATCAAAGGACTGGAAAGGACCTGTAAGATCGTTGAGTCCAGTCCCCTTCCATGGGCAGGAGGTAACTGGGCTCAAATGAGCTCAACAAGATGCTTGTCCAGCCTCCTCTTGAACACCTCCAAGGATAGCAACTGCACCACCTCTGCTGGGATACTATTTAGATACTATTTAGAATTAAACATTTCACTTCTGCATGGACAGATGCACCACCTCATGTGAATAATGAAAATACGCTAGTGAATTTTGACGGCTGACCCTTTAGTCGATGGGAAACTTGAGCATTTGAACAGTATACCAAGACATGCAAACTCACTTCACACAGCCCCTGCTCATTTATTTTCCACAGTATTTTAAAACTGTGCCTGGCATCAAAATTCTTACTATTTATAGCTTTACATGCAACTTAATATTTACTTCAACCTGCAGTGGGGATACTTATTGTAAATGTCAGTGGATTATTTACTATGATAAACTAATTGGTTATGCAAATGCTTCTGTTTGCGGGGCAGAGGCTGTTAAGACTTAATGGAATACTTGAACATTATGATGCTTTGAAGTTCTTAATTTTTTCAGTATTTACTTCAGGCAGGTGCAACTTTGAAGTCAGTGTTGCATCTAGTATCCCAGAGCTAAGGCATAATGAAAGTCAGTTTGTTTAACCTGGATGTTAACTGTGTTTTGCCTCAAATAAGTGTGTCAAATGTGCTGAATTACAATGAAATTCCAGTTGAAGTATTTAAGATGGGAGTACTTGATTTTGACTGGTGTTATTACAGTGACTTTCTAATCCATTAATAATGATGAAAAACTTAAAATAAAAGTGTGGCCAGCTGTAAGCGACCAGCTTTAACACTACTGACAGTTTTTGTACAGGAATTGCTTCAAAGAAAGTTTTAAAACAAGGTAAGGTGAACATTTATGTGTATAGCTCCCCCTTATTTATTAAGGGGCCAGGTTTTGAAATATAGTTACCTAAAATCAACTTACAAAATACATATATACATATATATACACACATAGGCAAATAATTGTATGGTAAACTCCTGGTATGAAAGTGTACTTTTGCTTGTGTAATGAGTCAGTGGTGACATGCATATAGGTATCAGTCAGCAGAGGAAAAAAAAAAGCACAGGATCTTTTCCTTCCAAGTTAAAGACAGTCCCTTAAAGTACAGCAAAATTTAGGTTTATATTATCTGTGAATCACCCATCAATCAGATATAGAGAGGTCACATGCATTTGAACTTTCCACCCAGGCAGCAGACTGCATGGGCAACAGGTATATCCAAGAGCAAGTGCTTTATGTCATAATGGGTCCGTCCACACACTGCCCTACGGCAATGTAGCAACACACTATGGTGACGTAGCAATCATGCGGGTCTACACGTAATCACCAGCTACATCACCATAGCAATGTGCTCCCAGGTTATAGCACGCTGCTACGGCAACGTGGGAGCAAAATCTAACCGTGCACTGCACACCCAGCACAGTAACCACCTGTACTGTACATGGGCTGACAAAGTGGGGACGCGGTCAGGAAGGCCAATTATACCTTGTCGAGCATCGACAGATGCATCTCAAGCAGGTCCAAGGAGGTGATCCTCCCCCTCTATGTGGCACTGGTCAGGCCGCAGTTGAAGTACTGCGTCCAGTTCTGGGCGCCGCACTTCAGGAGGGATGTGGCCAATACGGAGAGGGTCCAAAGGAGGGCCACCCACATGATCAGGGGGCAGCAGGGCAGGCCCTACGAGGAGAGGCTACGGGACCTGAACCTGTTCAGCCTCCAAAAGAGAAGGTTGAGAGGGGATCTAGTGGCAGTCTACAAACTAGTCAAGGGGGACCAGCAGGCATTGGGAGAGTCCCTGTTCCCCTGAGCACTCCCAGGAGTTACAAGAAGCAATGGACACAAGCTAGCGGAGGGTAGTTTCAGGCTAGACATTAGGAGGCGCTATTTCACTGTCAGGGCGGCTAGGACCCGGAACTAACTTCCAAAAGAAGTGGTGCTGGCTCCTACCCTGGGGGTCTTTAAAAAAAGGCTGGACAAACATCTGGCCAGGGTCGTTTGACCCCAGTACTCTTTCCTGCCACGGCAGGGAGTCGAACTAGATGATCTCCTCAGGTCCCTTCTGACCCTATGAAACTGTGCTATGCTTTAGTACTTAAGCATGGCACCATAGTAATGTTGTTGTATGGTGACGTGTAGACACACCCAATGATGTTTGAATCTGCCATATTTATTCACACTGACACCACCACATAGAAGTCAGATATACAATGCAGCTGCAGATTCTAAAGTCTCTAGGGTAAGAATCTCTTGATCCTTATATTTTAGACAGTATAAATCTCTGTAATAAAAACTTAGGAAATAAATTATACTGCATTACTTGCATATTAGTTACCAGTTCTCTGTTTGAAAACACTATGTTTTCTTGCATATTCATTTTTTCTCATTAGCACCCCGTTCTAGTACTTCCTTCTGCTTTCAGGGGAGACTGGAATTCAAACAAAGACATCCCATGCTAAAATTCTAAATACAAATTCTCAGGGATATAAACAAAATCCTTTATCAAATTGTAAAAAAATAATATAAAATGAGAAATTTAAAAAAGCAAGTTCCAATCAGGTGGTAGGCCAAAACCCGTGCTAACTGTAATAAATCTGGACCAGAATAAATGAGAACAAAAGCAGGCTTTGTAATCAGGCCTTTAATCTGGGTGTTTTTAAAATTTGAGATTCAGGATAGTTAATTGCAGAAGACACCAGAGTTGGCTTCTGCCCCACCTAGGCTACTGGCAGAGGCATACCAACCAGGTCACGGGGTAGTGGAAGCAGAGACCAGGCCAGCAGTGGCAGCAGCTGCCATTCTTGCACCCCCTGTCAATGGGTGCCTGAGGTAGGTGGCCCAGTTGCCCACCGCTCATTAGGTTACGCTGAGTGACCTCAAGCAAGTCATCTCATCCCTCTGTTCTCATTCTCCATCTCATCCATTCATACTGGGCACATCTACATGAGACACTTACTGCGCATTAGCCTAACAACATTGCACAGTAGCATGGTGGTTAAAAACTGTGCTAATAGCCTACTGCGCAGTGTCATTAGGCTAACGTACAGTAAGTGTCATGAAAAAAACATACACTGGCACTACTGCACAGAAACTATGGTTACTGCACATTTCGTTAGCATATTATTAAGCAAATACTAAACTAAATGCACAGTACCCAAGGTGCATTAATGAACCTGTAGACACGCCTACTGCAAACTTTTCTTGGCACAGAATCTGATTTACCATGTGTTTGAACTACACCTAGCCCAATGATCTTACCTGATGCCTTTAGTTGCTATCACAGTAGAAATAAGGAGATAATGATAAAAATCAACAAGCCTCAACATTTTGGCATAGCTGATGATTTCAGTCAGGAAACTACAAGTCCTCTACCTGTTAACACAGGATATATTCTGTCCGTAGTGGAGAAGTATAGGGAAGTAAAACTCTCTGTTCCACTGTGGCACAGCAAATGGAAAGTTTTTCTCCTCCTGTATTAAGAAAAAGGAACTAAATTTAAATTAAGGGTAACATATCTGTTATGTTAACTAAATACAGCCAATCTACCTTAGCTTAAGAAAATGATATAGTGGCAAAAAAAAAGGAGAGCAGGATGTCAGAGATCTCTTCTGAAAAATGTAATGCTATAGAGCCTAGCCAGGGAAAGCAGGCAAGCCAAAACTAGAGAACACACATTTCAGGAAACTGTCCCCAATTATGATTTTAGGATCAAGTCTAGAGGTCCATAAAGAAAAGCAGTGAAACAGGAAATTAGGGAAACAAATGGAATCCTAAAGATTACGGCAGAGGGACCATAAAGCATCTGTAAGCTCAACAGCAGGCCTGCAGTTTCCAGACCTATGATTGAAATATATCTTTTACAAAGAATCCTATAGTAAATAGTTGATTTTTTTAGTATCATTAAAGAATTCTCACCTTTGCTTACATTTGGGGTTTCACTGCATGGCTGTGGTAGCACAACCATTGCTTATGTTTCCCTAAAGGGTATGCTAAATAGACTTGGTAAAACATTTTCTAATAGAGTATTTTTCTGGGAGAAAATACTAATTTATCCAGACCAAAACATTCTCAGAGAACTTTCAGCTGAAATCAGAGGGGTATCTATTAGAAACCTGCCTGGTTCCCTGCTAGTTTACCCATCCGCCCACCACCAGAGTGATGGTGAGGCTTATTTAGTGCATTTAGAAATACTGCAGGTTAGTAGAAATGGGAAGAGAGAGAATAGAGAACTGTAAGGCCTAGCAAAAGGTCTTGCAGAGATTTAGTTGGGATTCAGCCCCAAACATTGATGTTTCTTCAAACCCATGAACAGAGAGAGGTAAGTGTTAGTCTGAAATCAGGCAGAAGACAGGGTAGATTTGCACCTTGTAGACTAAATTAGGGATGTATAGCCTAGCTTTTATGAGCCCAAGTTCACTTCATCAGCATAGCATTTGATGAAATGAGCTCGGGCTCATGAAAGCTTATGCTGTCTCTCTCTAATTTAGTTTATAAGGGGCAAATCTTCCCTTCTACTTCTTGAAACCAGAACATTTTAGACCCAGAACTAAGGTAACTATATATTAAAATGCATGAAAATGCTGCCACTATTCTTTGACATCTCACAGTTAGATGGGAAGTGGCATAAAAATGTCGGCAGATATACTGTAACATGGACCAAATCTTCATCACACTATTACTAAAGTTGCACTAATGTCACTAAGATGACAAATTGATCATCTGCTACTATTATGGTCTATCCTTATTAGAATCCTGGCATGAAGGAACCAAGAATCTAACAAGTCCCCAAATAGCTCTGAAAGAGAGTCCAAAAATAAGTAAATATAAAATAGACCATAAGAACTCTAGAAACTCACATGCCCCTAAAGAGAGACTGTAGTAGCTCTTAAGTGCTAGGTATATCACTGAGACAAAGGCAAAATTAAATATTCTATACTATAGTTAATGGTTTAAATTTTTCCATGATATAGAACACAGTTTTAAAAGGCCCAATAGTGACTTCAGTAGGCTGCATAGTAAGTGACATTGTTTGCTGTCCATTGCATTATATATATACAATTATGCTTTTAAGTCAGATAAGAAATGAGTATGTGAACCTCATATTTAGTGTAAACTGAGCCAATTTCCCTTCTAAAATGGAGTTGTCAGCAAGGAAAACGAGGGAGAGCTAACTAGTAAAACAAAATAATATTTAGCAAGATAACACTAAAAAACAAGGACTGTAATGATTCTCTCTGTGGCAGTTCTCAGGAAAAAATATCTTAATCTTTTTCAAGATTACAGTTTTTTCTTACATCCTGGGATCAAATAACAGTCATTCACATGGAAGGAAAGTAGATCTTAAAGTTTTATCATTAATGATGACCATCTCATCTAATAGATATAGATATATAAAATCTGGTGTAATGGTCTGCTGCAGTCTCTTCCTGACCTTAATGTAACTTGAGTAAAATTCTCTCAGCTGAAGGCACCTTAAATTCAGTGTTTCAGTTATTCAGTAAGAAGGGATTTTAAATTCCGTGTAGGGCCCATCCATGGTACATAGATCAAAGCAGGAAAGTGCAGGTACACGAATATCCAGCACTTGGGGAACACCTGCTGACTTACCTGTGTTTCAACATATTCATTCGACTGTTCCCCCAGATGACCTTAACTTAAAGGACTGTGGGTTTTGTGACTTGCTCTGATCATTGTAGAATCATACAAAATAAAATATTCCAATTCTTTTTCCACCCAGAGCCGTTTGACACAGACTCAAAATGAAGGTTATTTATAGGATATCTTATGGTCTAAGTGTCCATAATTTCACAACCAGAGGCCTTCTGTAGTGACTTTTGATGCAGCTAAAACCATGCTGTCTTTAGTGCCAGCATTCAATGAATTAAAATATTTGTAAGGGTCTAGATGTATTCATCAATATCATAAGATCAGTTGGACACATCCTTAACTAAGGGAGCCATCAGGTTGACTGAACATTTTTTAGGATTTTTATTTTATTTATTTATTTATTTATTTTTACAGTTTTCCCTGTACTGTAACCACTTCTACAAAAGCCTATATGTATGATTTGTTCTATATGTTGTGATGCAATGCTGATGAGACACAAGCTTTTAAAGAACTAACATTAAGCGCCTGCAAAGCTCCTGCTGGCTAGATAGTTGAGAATTTTATTTTCTCTAGCATGAGTTAAAAAACTGCATTGTTTAAAATATTGTGTTTCATTGTTCCTTAACTTTCACACAAAATACAATAGTCCAAATGCTTAATAAGACACGTAAAATGTGCATGGTTTGGATTGAGATTCAAGACACAGGAGGAAGACGGGACAGAAAACAAAGTCCATAAATCTGGATCTCTCGTGACCAACTGTTGTGCACAAGAGGAGACATGTTAATCCCTACACCCTGGACGAAGTCTTCTGTAGGAATTGGTAACAATATTTGCAATGCAGTTTTAACTCAATATGATATTTTTTATTTCCTGGCATATGTTGTTCTGTAGGCTGCTGTGAGCTTTCAAGCTGTTGCAGCATTTCATTCAAGAAGTGGGCAAGTTTAAGAGGTAGCCAAAAGGGAGAGAGAGGCACAAAGACAGACATCTCATAAATCAATATCATAACTGTTTTAACAGCGGCTTGCCTGAGATGAATAGTCTGTCATGCAGTTAGATGACTGACGTACTCTTCACACAAAGTACATTACCCAGGTTCTTTCTTTATAATTGACCCGCCATAAAATATGGATGAGCTACAGGCCCAGGTGTGTGAGCAGTTAATCAAATAAAATGAGTGGAATCAAAACCTCAGTATGAAAATCTCATACTTTGGTGTTCAAAATAGCACCAGAGAAACTAATTTAGCATCAGCACTGTTAGCTGGCATTCAGCACTGCTAGCAGACTTGTATTGCATATTTATATGTAGCTTTTCCTAGACCTGTCTTTGATACTAGTATTTGTTTTAGTAATATGGCAGTATTATAACCTCTTCCTGGTGCTCCCACTCAGAGTCCTTGCAGGCCATTCAGTTTATATTTCTTTATGAGCTGCATAATTTAACTAGAAATTTACCATGAAATCTGTACAAAGACTACTCTTACTAGCCTGTCTGTATCCCAGGAGTATACTTCTCCACAATTTGCATTAGGGCTAGGTACAGATATTCAAAAAGCCTGAGGCAGAATCGATCTAAGTTACACAGTTTTCTGTAAGCGGTGTAGTTTAGATAGGTAGCGAACAAAACACACATCCGCCCTTTGTTGTGGGGGGCAGGGGGAAAACTTAGACCAGGTGTAAGCCAAACTGCTGTTCTGTTCTTCTTAAGTGGTTTCTGATCACTTATACCAGTAAAATTATAATGTCTGTAGCTGGCCAGAAGATCAAATTTGTTAAGCAATCCATTCTTTCAGAACCTTATTGATGGTTACTTTGACAGAAGTTGTATTATATCATGAATCAGGGAACTAGCATATATTGCCTTATAAACTGCTCTTGCATTACAGCACTGATCAGATGCATTTCTTATTCTAATGCTATAGGGCCAGATTCTTGGTTGGTTTAAATCAGTTTAGCTTCACCAACTCCAACGGAGCTAAGTTTTAGGCCCAGTACCTGAGTGGTTAGGGCATTTGCTCAGGAAGCCAGGAACACTGGGTGCCTGTACACAAGCATGGAGCCTGCTCTGACATGCTCTAATTACATGGTAATTAACACACTCCAGCAGCCTCCCGCATCTCATATATCAGCATCCCCATGCCTCAAAATGGCAGTGAGGGAACTTGAACTGAAGCTTATTGAATGAGCTTTAATTCAAGCACCCCATCACTGTTTTGAAGCATGGGGATGCTGACACACAAGACACTGCTCCAAGAGCTGCTTTAATTAAAGCACTGTCTCCCATCCCCGGAGCACATGTAAAAGTGTCCATAGGTTCTAAGCCCCTCCCTTTACCCAGAGAGGATTTAAACCCACACACACGTACACATCCATGCTACAGGAGTAACAGAATCTCAACGTGTGTGTAAGTGGCAAAAATGCCTCTTGCATTGCCAGAATACTGCCATTTAGATGCACAAAGGAAAGTAGAAAACTTCCCCAAATAGTCAGCTAAGGTAAATGCTTTACTATCCAACATTATCACAATTGGATTAATATTCATTTAGTTACAGTTCTAAGGATATTTTGATAACTCAGGATTAATAAATCCTGATCTACTAAAAAGGCAATTGACCTAGAGCTTACCTGCATCCCAAGAGACAACAATGGGACTTACACTGCCTAACAATAGTAATACTTAAATGGTGAAATGAGAATGAGCCTGCCAGCCTGCTGCAAAGGGTTTCAGTCTTTTAAACCAGTTTCTGATCACTTAAACCAGTTTATGCATAATGTCCGTCCCTAGCCGCTAAGATCCCATAGCTTATCTGTTGTGATGTAACCTACCCCTACTGGGAGCAAACACCAGGTGGTTTAAATTACTCTATTTGTTACTGAGAGTTTGCTGAGAGTCCCTTGGGGAGCAAAAGCCTGTTTTTGGGGCCCTGAGGTGGAAGCCTGCTACAGGCCCGCAGCCACATAAAAGTTGGAGAGCTCTGAGCTATAGCAGGCTTCCATCTCAGGGCCCCTACAACCAGGATTTTGTTCCTTAAGTGACTCTCAGCAAACTCCCAGTAATCAACAGAGTATTCTAAACCACCTGGCTTTTGCTCCCAGTAATATACAAAATCTTTTAACAAATAAAGAAAGTCCATTTAAAAAAAAACAACACTTTTTTGTCCTGGATACTGGGAAGGGTCCTTTGTAGCTCTAGCCCTCCCACAGCAGTCTCCCACTCTGGTACTTCTCCTCCATATCGCCCTCCGAGTCTGCCTAGTTCCCAGCTGGCTACTCCCTCATTAGCCTTCACACAGCTGCAGCCCCTCAGCCAGGCAGGCTGCCTCTTCTTAACAGGACAGGGCACTCTATTACAGTGCTGCACCAGCCAGGACTGCACACCTCCTAGGCTGTATGTCATGCATATACATGGAGTGGTGCCCCTTCCCATCCTTCTACACCGCAGGTGAGCACTCCCAAACCCCTACCCACCACCCCATGCAGCAGAGTAGCCTGGGTCACCTGCAACTCCCTGCAGGCTCCTTCACTGCACTGCATTGCCTGGACGCTCCGCACTGCCACCTCACCCAGCATCACGGGCTGCACTGTACCATGCCACACTGCCCTGCCCTCTGGGACTGGGTCAGGCAGCAAAAGCAATAAGGGGGGCAAGCCTCTGGTTCTTGCTGCAGCTGGAGCCGGGGACAGCAGAGACCAGTGGGAGCCTGGGGTGGGGAGCTGACCAAGTCTTACTGAAGTCAATGTGAATCCTTTAATTATTTATAACAGGAGTTGCTTAAAGCACATAAAATACATTCCTTAAAAAAATCAGTCCAAAGCACACACTTTCTGCATGTTACCTTAGTCAAGGGTTTTCACAAAACTTCTATGATCCAAAAGACAACACTGGAGCAAATAACCACCATAAGAGTGGTTATCCCCACCTCTTGACTGAATTAGTTTGAACTGTACTTGGTTTGTCTAAGCTGGAATACATTCCTTGTACCCATAATATGCTACAGTCCCAGAAAACAGTCTTGGCTAGTTATAAAAGTGACACTGTGGAAAAGACATCTGGAAAAGAGAAAATGCAAAGATAGTTTCTAGCAAAAGTTATCCGCTCTGCTGATAGCTCCCAAGTATTATTTACTAGGTGTATTATAGCAGCAAGCAGACATACCAGAGACAAAAAAAGAGAAAGAGTATGAGAAGGACAGGCAGAGAAGTGAAATGACTTGCCTGAACTCACACAGCAGGCCAGTGGAAGAGTTAGGAACAGATATCGCATCCCCCAAATCCAAGTTCAGTGCCTGTCTACAATCATTCCTTCTACTGTAGAACAAGTCTTAAATTCATATGTTTCATATCTCAACCCCCCTAAGACTCCTAAAGGTATCACTTCTGCAACAAGTCCTGATGTTTGTTTCCCACTGCTGCATATTACCTGATGTCCTGATCCATTTATTAGCAACCTATGTACAGGCCACAACAAAGTCCAACAAAATCAAATGGGTGAAAAGAGTAATAGGGGAAAAAAGAAGCAAAACTAAGAATCTTCTTTACCTGATTTGAGATGGAGCAATTTAGAGAATTGGCTTATTCTGACACATGGAAAGTAGTAAGGAGTGATGTAAGATGCAAAGAGTTTCTAAAGCTACATTATGAGACAGGACAATTAATTTTTGCTGTGTCAGTTAGAAATAGTGAGCTGTGAAAGCAACAAAATCCAACTTCTAATTACTACATGCTGTTGCTGCTGCGAGAAATACCATGTGGATTTTTAATCTAAAGATAGTTTTGTCATTCATGTAGTTTAAAAGTTCATCCAGTCGATAAAAAATGTGTTCAATTAAGTTGTCTCTCGACTTCCCCAGACTGTCAGTGACATGCTTGGCTTTCTCCCCTTTCACAATGGGGCTTACCCTTATTTGTGTTTCACTATCAGCTACTTCAGCGTGTTCCTGTTGCCTAAAGGTACAATGTTAGAGGAGGAAAGGTATGTTTTCTAGTTTGATTATTCCAGGGGCATTTGATTCTGTCATATGAATCATGGGACTAGTGATTTTTGATAAACTGAATATAACTTGGAATTCTAACAAAGACGTTTTTGCATGAAACAGCAGGCCCCTGTCCTCCCTTTATCCTTAAGATTGAGAAGGAAATAGCTTCCTGAAAGTGTAGTTATGAAAATTCAAGAACTCTCATCACTATATCCATGTATCAGTACTTCTGAATGTGAAAACTACTCTCTGTTATAAACTCACTGACTTAGCATTTATTGCCATTTTCCCAGATGATGTGATTTGCACATGTGTAATTGCAGTAGGATTGATAACCTGCCCTACACAGCAGGCATGACAAGCAGTATCAGCAAGCAGCTTGACAAGCAACTCTGCCCTGGTAGATGAGTGAGTCTGTCATAGCCCACCCACTTCTACAACTATATGTATGTCAATCAGAGCTAATTCTGAGTTCAGAAACAAGCAATTGTTCTGGCTTTCAGACAGGCAAGCCTCTGTAACCAATAAGAGTTCAGATCAAGTCAGCCACCCATACCTGACAATACTTAATCTACACAAATATGGCACCATGATCATTAGTCTCACTGCATGAATAGTGCAGAGAGAGCACCCATCTGAGTCATGCAACTTTATTTCAAAAAGCAGTCAAGAACACTGATTTATCTAATCCTACCCATAATTCCTGTACCTTTCCACAGCAAAGATGATAATAAATGTTATGATCATGTCATAAACAGATTTTATTTATAATAGTATGTAAAAACTGCTGTGAGAAGGATTAAGCATCAAGGACTAACAGTAAGATCCTTGGCTGAGGCAGATTGAAAAGTTAACGATGCTAGAGTGACAGACATCAGCTTAGAATCTGGTTCAAGATGTTCAAATGATATAAATCAAAGTAGCTCTACAGTAATGAAATCTGCCTGCTCAGGCTGTGGCCAGGAGAGCTTTTTCCAATGTGTTACCACTCATCAAGGTTAAAGGTATCCGGTACCTTTACAGCCTTGGGCTGCCAGTACAGAGTAGTGTTACTAGTGGTTGTGCACTGGAATGTGAAGCCAATCATACAAGCAGTGTCAGACAAAAAAAAACTCACAGCAAATAACAGTAGTTGTAACATTTTCAACTCAAGAGTTCTCAGTTGTGGCTTTGCTATAAACTCAGAGTAAGAGGGAGTAGCTTGTTCTGCTGCTGCAGTGACAGCCCAGAAAGGAGACAGAATCTGGGAGTCACAAGCTCCCAATGAACTTTCCTGATGTTCCAGGAACGGAGCAAATTGTCCTGGGTCCATTTCCAGTGCTGCATGTGTCATACATTGCACCAACACAGTTTTTGCTGTCTGATGTTGAAAAGGGAAGGGAAGCCAAGAAAAGCCAAGGCTCAGCCCATTTCCTGCCACTTTCCACTCACTCACCTTGTGGTGAGAAATTTGGTAGTCTGTGAACTTCACTAACCTTCACAGGCATAGACAGGAGTAGGCATCATCAGCATAGAGGATGGGCCTAATATATCACCCTATCCTTAGGAGGTGGTAGACATTAAAATCTCCATTTCACAAAGAAAGAAAGTGAGAGTGAAGGATTAACTAACTTCCACAGGGTGGTAATCAATTAATTGAAGCTTATCAATTTTATCAATGAACTGAAGTGTTCCTGGTCTCTAGTCCTATGTACAGATCATGCTTAAGACTAATTAATAATAGGCAATATATCTAGGAATATGTTCAGGTGCAGATTTTGCCCTTCAAAATTCAGCTGTATCCAAACTTCTCTACACATTCCCCAAAAACCCATATGGCACAAAAACACTAAGAATGGTATAGAAACATGAGAATTATAATCACTGCAGTAAAATGATGGTAACAGATGTCTGTAGCTCATTAAGTTAAAATTTTAGTCATTCTGTCATGATGACATTTATATTATGTGAACAAGGAAAATCATACTGAATTATGTATTTTTTCTTAGTGATTGTATGATTAATGCGGTTTTACCATAATACTTATCATTCAAAATGACTTATTATGGAAAAACTTCATATATCAGAATTATACAAAATGAGCTTTAGATTTAGGTTTGATGGTAGTATATGCTAACTAAATGCCAACCATTTTAAAAAATAAATTGTAGAAAATAAGTGAAAACATAGGACCCTAATATGCTTTCCTAAGTAGCCACCACAGCCAAAACAGTAACATCCCATTGAATTAGTAAGAGAAAATTCTTGCATAATTAGTGATGAGTTAATTCATTTTGCCTCACTTCAGAGCCATTTGGGCATTGCTGGTTCTGAAGACTTTAGGCAACAGATCAGAAAATTTTGGCTTGAAGTCCATGACTGTTTTATCTACAGGTGTTTATATACTTGAACAAAAATAGCAGTAGCAAAAGCAGTGCTGCACACAAATAATTTCCCTTCCTGACTTCCAGCAATACACAACCCAGAGTACAAGTTGCAGATCCTAACTTATTCTTCTCTGGTGCTGCTATTCATACCATGGCTCCCAACTGTTGCTCAGACCAATTGGTTCAATGTCTCACCTCTTCTGTCATGCAAAATATTTCTGCTCCTGGTGCTGGCTCTGGTTTGACCAAATGATGACTGCCTTCCTTTCTTTGTCCAGTTACTATGCAATACAAAAAGAAATCATTTGAACCAGGCAATCTCCTTACTTACACAAGAACTTAAGATCAGAGCTTTTACAATTTGGGGAAGTTTTTCTTGTTATGGTCTTATATAACCTCTCTCAACGTTTTTTTTTCTTTTGTATTTATTGCCACCTCCTATACCGATGTAGCTTTAATCCATGGAAACCCTAAGCAGTTAAGATTTCTCTACAACTTCCTCTTTCACTAAAAGTCTGCATAAAAGGGGTTTTTTTCTTGACTACTCCAATTCACAGATAATGTATTTGTTCTGATACCACATGCACCTTTACTCCCCTAAATCAGCCCTTCAAAATTGAGATGCGTTAAGTAAGGAATGTGATTTTCTTCACTAGAACAGAAACATGGAGATACTGTACTCCAATGGCTGCCAAAATAGTTCCCACTCTTCTCTGGCCCAGCAAGCAGAAGGGGGAAGAATCCAGTGTTAACCTTCTCACAGCTACTAACTAAGGAATTTGTAATAGCTACTGGCTGAACACTGTAATTTGTTCCTGAAACAGCAGTTGAGCTGGCTTGGGCAAATGAACTGTTGTATGCAGTCTGTAGTATCCTGTTGAGGCTTCTGGTATGGAAACAACAGTTTATTATTTACAGTAAGGCTGTCCAGCTGGTTAATCCTTTCCAGGCCACATGTGGCCCATGGGCCTCCCACCTAACTCCTC